CTAAAACCCCCATACTCTTTTATTTCTTAACGAGAACTAAACCCACGTACTCTCTTATCTCTTAACAATGGATTCACTCCAAGAAAATGGACTCTATGAAAGTAAACTAAAAAAACATACTAATCCTATTTCTAAAAATTGACTCTAATAAAATAAAAACAAAAAATACACATAAAAAAATAATAATAATAATTAAGTCCCCAAAAGTTTGAGAACAATGAAAAATATTGAATCCATTGATCTTGAACTGCGTCATTTTCCCTTGGTTGGAAAAATCTCATCCTTGAGTTTTAAAATGCACTGAAATAAAATTTTTATTATTTCCACAACCTTCTTCTATCCGAATATTGTAAACATGATCCTAGAACCTATGGGTTACTGTAGTAATCAAAAACAACTATTGTGCACTGAATATGAGAAACTCTCATGGAATGGGTCATCGTATATCCATAGGAATGGTTTATACTCGTCCTTAAAACATGCTAAGGGGGAATCTTCAAGATGAGCACTAAAGGAGCATCTTCGCGATGAGAGCTTTCGATGACTAAACTGACTTCATTTATCGATTCTCCTTTGAGCCCATCATTTGTTTCTTCGTCAAATATCTCTGGAGGTTCGATCTCCTTTAGGTTCAAGTCAACATATTAATTCTCCATGAGAAAATTAGATTTCTTTGCTGCCTCAAGGCCAACTTCTCTCCTTTCATCTTGTTATTCATCAAATATAGGATCTTCATCAAAGATGAGGTCACTTTTGAATGATAGTTCCAATTTGAGATCCACACCTATTAGTTCTTCATCAAACTTAACTAGATCACTTTCCCGACCATGAGGGTCCCGACCCAGAGCGTGCTCTTGAAAGCAGTTTCTAACTCACTACCATCTTTATAGTGTGTCGAGGTCGAATTTTCTGCAACATCTGACTCACTACTGTCATTATAGTGTGTCGGGGCTGAATTTCCTGACCCAGAGCATGCGCATGGAATAGGCTCTCTAAGCATTAGACTCACTATCGTCATTATAGTGTGTAGGGACCAAATTTCTTGACCAAGAGCGTGCGCATGGAATGGGCTCTTGAAAGTAGCATCGAACTCACTACCATCATTATAGTGTGTCAGGCCAAATTTGGATGGGCTCATTCTCAATAACTCTGAGGTATTGTTCTTGTTGAATGGACTCATTCTCAGTAATAATGATAGGGTGGAATTTCCTCTCATAACGTGCACATGGAACAAGCTCTCAAAAGTAGACTCTAGCTCACTACTGTCATTATAGTGTATCAGGGCTGAATTTTGCGCCAAGTGCTGGTCAGTTTCTCTACTTGTCTTCTCAAGTATTTTATCTCAATATCTTGGAGGTCTCGTTCTCGTTGGATGGGCTCATTCCCAGTACCCAACCATAGACATAACCTCTTGTGCGCGGAAGCTCTAAACCAGATGGGTTGATTTTTGGCAAATAAAGTATGAGAAAAAAAAATCGATAAAAAACAAGCAACAAGAAACAAAAATAAAGTAGGAAATAAATAACAGAAAAAGAATACTAGGATTTACCTGTTTCATCATAGATGTGGCGAAGACGATCGATGTTTTTCACTAAATCAAATAAAGAAAATTGCAAGGCAACTTACTTGAGAGGACCAGAGACTTAGTCTCCCACAAAGCCTTATTTTCTACAATTTTCTCTCTGTAGAAATCCCCAAACGTTTTCCTCTATTTTTTTGAATCTTTTTCTCTCTCTAAATAACCCTTTATATAGAAAAAAGCAAATCTCAAAGAAGTGGTATGTGAGGCTCTATCTTTCCCATAAAATTAGGAAACTTAACTTTATCGATATCTACTTGTGGACCTAGGGCTCCATCATAATCTAAGTAGGACTTATCCATAAACTTAGATCTTAAATAATAGGCTCTACCCAAATAAATAGGAAACCTAAATTAAAGCAATCCAATCCTTTAAAATTAAGGATTCAAGAATTCAAGATAAATATCAACAAATCTCCACCTTAGCTTGAATTCCAAAAGAGATTTCAATCGACCATCTTCTCCACACGTGCCCCCATAGGCGTACCTTGGCAACACATTATTCAAGTCCAAGCATAAGTTGAACTTCTGTAATGCAACCGGCTTTGTTAACATATCTGTAGCATTCTTCTTAGTATTAACCTTCTGTAATAAAATATCACATTTAGCCTTGATATTACGGATAAAACGGTATCTGACATCAATATGCTTCGTCCTTGCATGACATACCTAGTTCTTTGCCAAATGTTTTGCTCTCTGACTATCACAATAAATAATAGTCTCATCATGTCGTAAGCCCAAATAGCTTAAAAGCCCTCTAATAAGACAAATGGCTTCTTTCTCTACCTCGATAACAGCCATGTATTTTGCTTCAGCCGAAGACAAGGTAACTACAGTTTGTAGCATCGACCTCCAACTAATTGGATCTCCTACAAGTGTAAACACATAACTTGTAATATATCACCTACAATCTAAACCACCTACAAAGTCAGCATCAACATAACCAACAACCTTGTCACCAAACGTGTTATCTCTATCAAACACCAAACCTAGATCTGATGTACCTTTTAGGTAATGCAGAATTCATTTTACCGCATGACAATGCTTCTTTTTTAGATTAGCCATATACTTGCTAATAACACTAACGGCATGAGAAATATCTTATTGAGTGCAAACTATTGCATATATGAGGCTTCCAACTGTACTCACATAGAGAACACGTGACATGTATTCCTTTTCAGCATCTGAATTTGGAGATAATGATGCTGACAATCTGAAATGTGTAGCAAGAGGAGTACCCACGGGGTTTAAATTTTCCATTTTGAATCTAACGAGAACTTCTCAATTTACTCCTTCTGAGATAGCTACAATTTACCTAACTTTCAATCTCTACAAATCTCCAAACCCAAAAATTTTTTTGTTGAACCTAAATCTTTCATTTCAAATTCTCTGGTAAGCTTAGTCTTCAATTTACTGATTTCTGAAGAATTATTCGCAGCAATAAGCATATCATCTACATAAAGCAATAAATAGATGAACGAACCATCAATAAATATCTTACAATAGACACAATTGTCATACTTACGTTTGATACACCCGTGATCAATTATGAATGTATCAAAGTGTTTGTACCACTGCCTAGGAGACTACTTTAGGCCATACAATGACTTCTTCAGCTTGCAGACATAGTCATATTTTCCTTTAACAATAAACCCTTATAGCTAAGTCATATAAATATGTTCTTTTAACTCTCCATGAAGGAATGCAGTCTTGACATCAAGCTACTCTAACTCTAAATCAAACAATGCAACCATGGCTGGTAAAACCCAAATAGAAGTGTGTTTCACAACATGAGAGAAAATCTCATTATAATTAACACCTTCTTTCTGGGTATAACCTTTTGCAACCAAACATGCCTTAAACCGATCACCACCAGTCCTACGTGACCCATCTTTCTACTTATAAAATCATTTACAACCAATGGCTCTCTTGCCTTTAGGCAACTTCACGAGATCCCAAGTACGATTCTTCTGAAGAGATTTCATTTCTTCATCCATAGCTTAACTCTACCTGCTATTGTCACTGTCATGTGTAGCTTCCTTAAAAGTGAATGGCCCTTGGCTTGTGGTAGTCAATGCATAAGCCACCATGTCCTCAAAACCGTACCCCACAACTAGCTTTTTTATTTTCTTTCCATTTCCAAACTGAGGCTCTTCCTCAAATGGAGTAGACTCAACAACCTCCTCATGGTCAACATCTTCCTCCACTCTCTCACAGGGAATTTCTAGCACATAATTTGGAGTATTTTCTGGAGTTGTCAACTCCACCTCAACAGTATCACTACTGCAGCAATTTTCCTTGTTTGCACCCTTATGAATGTGCTTTAACATGGCAAACTCATCAAATTTAATATCACAACTGACAATAAACTTAGGCAATTTAGGATCTGGGCACCATATTCTATGGCCCTTAACCCCATACGCATAACCAAAGAAAATACACTTCTTTGATCTTGGACTCAACTTATCATCTTTCACATGAACATAAGCAGGACAACCAAAAATTCTTAAATAAGTATAAGCTACAGGTTTACCAGACCATACCTACTGTGGTGTTTTGTAATCGATTGTTGTAGATGGTGACATGTTGATGAGGTAACACGCCGTATTGACCGCCTCAACTCAAAAGTCCTTTGATAAACCAGCATTACTCAACATGTTGCGGGACTTTTCTAGAAGTGTCTTGTTCATGCGCTTGACAACTCCATCCTGTTGCGGCATCTTCAGAGTGACGAAGTGATGAAAAATTCATTCGCTCTTGGAAAAATTCACAAACTCCGCTGAAGTATACTATCCACCATTATCAGTCTTCAAGCACTCTTTTATCTTTTATCTCTTAACAACGGATTCACTCCAAAAAAAAAAAAACGGACTTTATGAAAGTAACCCAAAAATAATAATAATCTTATTTCCAAAAAATTAACTCTAATAAAATAAAAATTTGGCTCTAATAAAATAAAAAGGAAAAAATACACTCATAAAGACAAAAGAAATAATTAAGTTCCCAAAAAAATTTGAAAGGAATGAAAAATACTTAATCCATTTATCTTGATCTGTATTTCTCTCTATATAATTCTCTCTCTCCAAGGAAAACGTCTAATTTTGGTAGGAACGGTTTGATTTATTTCAATCAAAATTTCGTTAGCTAACGTGCAAGGTTGTTAGCCCCAACGCCTCCTTATCTTTTACCAAAATTTTGTTGCACGGTGAGCAAACATTGCGCTGGATGGCTCTCGTTACATGGTGCTCTATTTTTCCTCGTGGAAAAAAAATCTACATTCTTCAAATAAACTGGCGGTGCAGAAGCCTACAACCCTACGAAAACCTCATAAAGATAACTACACTCTGTATCTTCAGCTCCGTTCACGACAAACCGCAGTTGTTATTTTGATTGAAGCTGATCCCGTAATCCCCGAATTGCAGGTTTATATTCTCTATTTTGTTCACTCGCTCAGCCGATCACATAACAAATCTCCCAACCAAAGCACCACCATCGATCTGAAAGGACAGAGGTAGCCAGAACGGGGTGGCGAGCAATGGAGACGGCCGGCGGCAACTCGTCCTGCAGCTGCCCGGCCAACATCTTCTCTCGCTTCACTGAAAATGAGATGGAAGGACAGCTCTTCTTCCTTTTTGCCCAGGTGTGCATCCTCCTCGTCCTCGTCAACCTTGCGCGCATAGCCCTAAGGCTGGTGCGCCTCCCTCAGTACACAGCGGAGCTAATCGTGAGTTTCCGCGGCTGACTTCTGACATTGATGCTGGTTTGAGAATCGGGTTCATGGCTATTTATAATTGCTCATATTTTTGCAGGCTGCTAGTATCATGGGACCCTTCGCCTTGGGCAAAATCAGTTGGGTCAGGGACACATTGTTTCCTATTGCGGGTCTGAAAGCCATGGTGAGCTTCTCAAGCACCAGCGGCCTCTTCTATGCGTTTGTTGTGGGCCTTGAGATGGACCCGTCGCTCATCTGGACCTCCAGTCGGCAAGCCCGCCTCACGGCATTAAGTAGCTTGGCAATGTCCGCTATACTGGGCACCGCCATGTCGAACCCGCTTTGCCAAATGCTCAATTTACAGATTAACTGTGTTAATATCCGCCTCATACTGCCACTGTTCATCGCCCTCACAGGCTCCCCAATGATGATCCGACAGGCGACGGAGATGAAATTGGGCACGACCAACGTGGGGCAGCTGGGATGCTCGGTGGCTGTGCTCATGGACGTGGCCTGCCTCTCCGGGATGGCGCTGGTGTCTTTATCGCCAGTCCTCCACCAGGCCACAGTGAACCACGACCTGTTCGAGCCATTTATGGCACTGTTGTACCCCATGGTCATCTACACCTTGGTCGGGCCCTGCGTGGGGCTAGTGATGCGCAGTAAACAGAGTGGCGTGCAGCTGGTCTTGGTGATGGTGATGGTCCTGGTATGCACGGGGCTGGGAGAGGCGGTGGGATATAACGGGCTCGTCGCGAGCTTCATATTCGGACTTCTGGTGCCGAGGAAGGGGGGTGTGGCTACAGATCTATTAGACCGTCTCTTCTACCCGGTGAGGTACATAGCATTGCCTATGTATCTGAACTTTGGGCAGCAGATGGCAAAATACGATGCTTCGTGGCACATAGCATTGAAGGGGCCGGCGGGGCTTCCGATTCAGGCAGTACTAGTGGTTTCTGTCGTATCCATGGCAGCGAAGGTGGCTACAGCATTGGTCATGGCTTCGGTGTACAAGGCACCGCTGAACGAGGGCATCATCTTGGGTTTTCTCCTCAATGCGAGGGGCTTTTCCGACATGATATTAATCTCGGCTGCTGTAGAGCGAAAGGTAAGCTCTCTCCCTCCCTGTTTGAAGTCGTTAGGTAAATGGTTTCATTATATGAGGATTACTGTATAAAAGGAGACCAATTACCTTATTGTATACAAGGAGACTAATTACCTTTTGCATAAAAGGAGACCAATTACCTTATTGTATACAAGGAGACTAATTACCTTTTGCACAGAAAAGTCACAATTACTTATAATCCTGATGGCTTACAATCATTCGCTTGATGTAAAATGTGATAACATAAACGTCCCATGAGTTTGAAAAAATTTCTTTTGCATTTTGAGGTTGATCAATAAAATCAATGATCTAATGGTCAAGATTGATTGTGACCAGTTTTTGTATCAAAAATAAATAGTCTCACTGCATACTTTCTCTAAAAAAATTTATTTTATTTTATAAAAAAAATATTAATTTTTATGCACTCACAAAAAAAATCTTAACTATCATCATGTCTCGTCCTCCCATCTATTTTATGCCGGAGTGTTGAACCACAAAACATGCTTTATCATGCTGAGTTTTTGAGAAATATGTTTGGGCATGTGCCTAGGTGATGGATCTTCGGATTAAGTCGCTGATAATAAACGCTTCCATCCTCAACTCCATGCTCGCCGCCCTTGCCGTGCTTACCGTAATGCGGGTCACAAAGAGGCCCGAACCCACGGCCGAACCACACCAAGTGATTGAAAGGCAAGGCCATGGCACCAAGCTGCGGCTATTGGTTTGCCTGCATAATGTCGTCGACGTAACCAGCACCATCAATGTCGTAGAGGCGTGTCGTGGCTCCGGGGCATTGCCTCTCGCTGTCCACACCCTGTACCTGATCGAGTACAACGAGCAGACGGCAGCGCAACTAATGTATCGACGTAGTGCTACAGACACATTGGTTGGGGGAGAGATGAAGAAAATAGATGCCACAATTGAGGCATATGCGAAGGACGCAGGAGTGCAGTTGCGGCGTAACTCAGCCATCTCCTTCTTCTTCAACATGCACGAGGATATCTGTCACAAAGCTGAGGACATGAAGGCCTCCATTGTTATCCTTCCATTTCACAGGGTCCAGAGACTTGATGGCAAGATGCAATTACGAAGTTCGGCATTACGGCGGCTCAATAAGAGGATGCTATATTACGCACCATGTCCGGTGGGAATAATTGTGGACCGGGGACTTGGTGGCGCCACCTTAAGGTCTGCCACCCGCATGTGCCACAACATCATCGGGCTCTTCTTTGGAGGTGCCAGTGACCGTGAAGCCCTCACACTTGGTAGTAGGATGGCCGAGCATCCTGGCATTCACTTCACACTGGTGCGCTTCTTACCGCTCAGCCAGATCCAATCATCAACGGCCACGACGTCTGGCGACACTCCGGAGGGTGCAAGAAGGTCTGTTCATACCTATGAGGAAGCAATGAATCCTGAAACATTGCCGACTACTTCACCAGGTAGCAATACTGTGTTTATCTCCATTGCCATGAAGGAGGAGGCCTTAGACAAGAAGTCTCTGGAAAATTTTAGAACAATGTATGAGGAGACAGGGATTGCGTCGTACAGAGAGATGGCGGCAAAGAGGGGCCAAGAGATGGTTGCGACGCTGCAGGCTTTGGATGCCGAATGCACATTGTTCATTGCCGGATGTGGGGAGTCGCAGGCATGTACAGGGCTGAGTGGATGCGCAACCGATTGCCCGGAGCTAGGCCCTATAGGGGGCTTGTTGTCTTCCTCGAACTTTTCCTTCACTAGTTCAGTTCTTACAGTAATAAAATGGATGAATTCCCGCTACAGCGTATAGTTACTGATCAGTGTAGGATTGCCTAACTCGGGCCATGATCCGGCTCTTGTCCGGCTTACCTTAACCCTGGTCAGGCAAGTACCAGCTAATAAAAATATAAAAAATAAAAAGCAAATAAAATATATATAAAAAAAAATTCATTTGATTAAAAAATGAAATTAAACCAATAGACATCTAAATGAAGATAAAAAAAGTAGTGAGAAATTAGAAATAACCTAAAAAAGAAGGAAAAATATAAAAATAAGTATTCATAGCCCAATCTTCGCCAAAATAATAAAAAATATATAAAAACATATTACAAATAAATTACTTATTTTTTGGATTTTTTGACAATTTTTTGTGAATTTTTTTCAAACTTGGGAACTTAACCACCGAAATCAGTCTTAACTGGACCCACCCATGGGCCGGTTTTAGATAACTCAGTTGGATCCACTTCGACCTAGCTGATTTGTCTATCATCGATACTGATATTTGGGACATAGTGTGAAACTCAGCCAATCGATTCAGGACTCGCCTTAGTCATCCCTTCTACCCGTACCGAGCCATAAGGAAAGGCCCGTAGGGGTGGCAACGGGTCGAGTATCGGTCAAGTCCGGCTAGACCCAGAGCCAGACCCGAACAGATTTGGGTCCCGATTTTGGACCCACACCCTTACCCGCACCTATCAGGTCTCGGGCTTATCCCATCGGATCTCGAATTCATTGTCACCCTCACTATGAGCTTCTTTTTTTTTTTTTTCTCCTTTTTTTAACAGCATATACCTGGCAGCAAGGTCACAATCACCCCCTATTAGATTTCAGGCTGTGTGATTTATCGTTCAATAGCTAAAGATAACTACTAGTTCTAATTATATATGATCCTTAATACACTCAAATGAAGAGCGCTTAAAGTAAAATATTTTATCTCTAACAGTTTACGGTAGCGGTTCGGTCCAACTGGACCCGGAACCAGACCCTTATAGTGTTCAGGTCCAAGTTTTGGATTCAGACCCGACCCACCAGGTCGAATTGCCTAGACCCATACCCGAGCCGTGTCGATATACCTGGCTGGTCCCGAGTCGGGTCTAGGTACATTGCCACTCCTAGGAAAGGGCCAATCTAAGTTATACCATAACACAAAAATAGAAAATAGAAAAAAACACAGCATGCCAAGTCCAGTGGAACTCACTCTCACAACAAAACGATATTTTCTAAAGACTGGCCACTTCTATAAGACTAGGGCTCCAATTTGGTCGAGCATGGGCTAGGCCATAACTGACCACACATATTGCAATTGCAATGGCATTGTGTGTGTCTATGTATATAACACACATTGAAAAAAGGGTATGGTTTGTATAGAGCCGAAGCTCTGAACAATCAAAGTAAAGTACACATTCAAATAGTGTCGATAAATATGGCGTAAACATTGGAAATCTTTGTAATAGCCTTAAAATATATTTCCATTTTCAATTGTAAAATTTAAAATTTAAAAAATAGTGTAGATTGAGTAGATCCATGAAAACTTGAAATCTTGAAATTTGATAGTCCAAATATGCATTGCAAGATGCACTATTTCCAAAACTTGAAATTTATTTTTTTCTCATGTCCATACATCTTGATGTCAAGATGATCATTTTGAGGATATTTGGGCATCAAAACAACCTCTTCTAGTAAAATTTTCGAGATGGGCCGTAAGCCTAACTCCTATAACTTTTTCCTTGAAAGAAAAACTAAAGGACCATATAATCCTGATACATGGAAGTAAGGACAAATCTAAAAACTAATCACAAACCTTATTTGGGTAATAGGCACTAAACCCAATTCTCTCTCTTCCGTCTCTCAAGAGCACACACGTGCAAAGCATCCAAAGAAAAAACGTCAAGTCCTTAACCCTAATAGGGTTGAATTTCTATTTGAGAAAGTCTGCCGTCCATGTACGGCTACCCTTCCAACGGTTCATGTAAAAATGGCTACAAAAGAGTTTTTATCTTATTTAAAAATTATTTTTTAAATTTTAAAATATATATTTTTTATAGCAATATAAATAAAGTAATCTTAAATTTTTTAGAGGTACTTTGATCAATATATTTTATTCAAATATTTTTTATTGTTTTAATTTGATGTGGCATACAAAATTAAATATGTACCCTAAATTTCAGACAAATATCATTTTAACTGAAAATAAAAAATAAAAATGCAACACTCTTTTTGGGCTTGGATAATACCAGGTTCAGTCAGAACTAAAGTTCTACAAAACGTTGATCCTGTTCAGAAATCGCTCAATCCGAATCGTTTTTCAAGGGGGTGTTTTGACGCCCGATATAAAATATCGGAAACCAAGAGTTTCCCACTAGGAACCAGCCCCCTCTCTGACAGAACTAGGTGGTTCCCACTAGGAACCTCCTAGTTCTCTAATAGAACCTGTTGATCCATAACACTTTGTTATTATTTTTATTTTTCATTTTTTATCAATTTTTTTATTGGTTGATTCTCTTGGTTAGATCGCCAATCCAGATCGTTGATCTTCAACCTAGATCGATTTCTTGGATGGCCGGTTTGCCCTGTCGTTCCAGGTTTTTAAATATTGATCTAAACCATTAAAGGGTACTTGTGTTCAAGTCAAGTATATGCTATACCATCCTTTTCTATTTCAAGAGAGGGGGAATTTTTTTTGGGTGCGTCAATGAGGAGAGGCCCTTATCTTTGGTAGGAATTGAGCTTAGGATGTAATGTTGCAAATCACCAAACACTAATCAATTAAGCCCGGGGCAATTTTTATGAGAGAGAGAGAGGGAGGGAGTTAGATTTTGTTTTTTAAATTGTAAGGAAGAGGGAAGCTTAGTAATCAACCTGAGACTGGCCATGATCTAATCTGAGCGTGGCTATGATCTGAGGTCACTGCAAGGCTTCACAGAAATATTTCAGGCTAGGCCCAGGCCCACATGTTATAGAAAGTTTTTCAACGAAATTTCAAGCCATACTTTAAATGTTGGCCCACCCAATCAAGACTCTTGGTAATCCTAATTTAAGGTTTGGCGAAGACCATTTCCAAAGAAAATTCTTATTTTTTTTAGTAAAATCTATAAGAAAAGCAAAAATAGATTACTAACTGTATTTTTTTTTTTTGTGCTCGTACTTTTTCTATTTATCTAACTTGATATGTTGTTGTTGTCAACTTTGGATAATGGTGATTCAAAGCAATTAGGATATTTGAAAATTGTTTTGGACACTTTTGGTAGTTTGGCTCTCTTTGCAGTTATGGGACTACATGATGGACCTAATTGTGGTGACGGGACCACAATATGGATCCCTCCAAGGTCAGCAGACCATGAACTGTTTTGCAAACTTGAGCAACGAAAAGGAAAGATCCAAAAGACTAATAATTAGATTGAAAATAAAAGGGGAAGATAACACGCCTAGCTTCAATGGCTTAGTGAATTCATTGGAATTTCAAAGAACAATGTTCTTAAACAATGATCAATTATGATAATGAACCCTATTACAACCCTTATTTATTGAACTTCTAATTAAAATCTACTCGAAACTTGACATATTTGCCCTCATCGAGATGAAATAATATAAACTAGCACCAAAAAATCCCTGAAAACATACTCCAACTTCGTATTGGCGCAAGTTTTTTCGGTCGTCAAATTACTATTATGACCCTATTTTGGAAATCTTAGATTTGTTATGTTTGGAATGAATTTGCAAATTTCACTATACAAAATAGGCTGAAAATGCCCCTAAAGGCCTAAACATCGACCCTAAAGTTTACTTCCCGTAATTGGGTTGCATCAATTCCCATGTTATGGAGAACTAACTCTTGAGTTTTGATCATCTATGAACTTCTTTAATGCCCATCCATCAATCTTCTTCATCTGCTCGTCTAAAATCCTTGAATTCTATGATGCAAGCTTTCCGTTCCATTGGACCAAATACTGACTGTGAGAACCAAGATGGATAGTAATGGTTCAAACATTGAGAACCTTTTGGATCAGATTCGCAACCTGCTTAGGCATTTATATCTTCCATTCAGTAGCCTCTACATCAAAAGGCTATCCATGACACTCATATTGATCAAAGTGTTAAATATAGGAGATATACATATCGCTTATTGACACCCCCAATTTTGTCTAATGGAATTCCCAGGAATCCACAACCCAAAACAATATTAGGAACCATACTAGCCTAGTTAGCCCAAATTATACCATAACCCACATATACAAACACACCCTTGGAAACGTCTCAAAACTGTCATGGAAGCCCCATCATTAGGGAAACCTAACCCTGCCTAATTGGGCTAGAGCTTGGAAACCTAAACCTGCCTAATTGGGCTAAAGCTTGTTTGATTAGGATTGATTCCCTATTCCAATCTAACACACTCTGAAAACCTTCGTAAACCTAAACCTAGATTAAGAAATTCCTAGACCTAAATGAACCCCTACGCCTACCCATGATCTCAAATCACCACCAAGCTTAAAAAAAAATTTGGGCTAAGCTCATGCCAACATGTTATAAAAATTTTTTAATGAAAAATCAATTCTGACCTACACCAATGTGAAATACTTGGGACTAGGCTCAGACCAACATATTATGAAAATTTATTAATGAAATATAAAGCTAGACCTGCACCAGTGTTGGCCCACCCAGTCCAAGTCCGTTGGCAACCGTACTGAAGAGTTAGTGAAGGCCATTTTCAAAGAAAAGTTATTATTTTAATAAAACATTTATGGAAAAAAATAGATTAGTGCCTACATTTTTTATTTTTTGGTGCTTAATGTTTTCTATCAAACTTGATAGATTGCTATTGTTTATAGGAAAAATTTTATATAAAACCCTAATTCCTCGTATTATTTCATGGTAGATCCTCTTTCCGTTTTTCTTTCAAGCACCATAAGAAAACCTTAAAGATTTCACTATACCCCCTCATCTCTTATCTCCCTCTTTTATTGACTTTTGATCATAAAAATTAACCCTAAAAAAAAAATTTATACCATTTCAACCCAAAAACGTTTT